GAATGCTAGACGATCCAGGCAGGCATTGTTTGTTTTTCAGTCCCATTATTAGGGTAATATTTGATTGGGGAAAGGGTCTGACATCTGTTTTTGTAATTCCTTGGGTTTGCAGTACTACCGGACAGCATACCTGAACTGTGTCCTAGTGTAGTTTCTCTGGGTGTGAAAAAAAAAATCAATTATTGGAGCCACTATACACTGATTTACAGAAAGTTAGTGATATCAATATTACAACCAACCTGGATATTTATGTATTGTGTTTGTACTGTCTTTGTACCTGCATTTTATCCAGAAGCTTGCATCAGAAATTCTTGTGCATTCAAAAATACTACATAAATGTAAAATAAATGATAAAGAATGGAAAGATTCTGATGAATGTAGCTGCCTTCTTGAACATGTGTCAAGCCATGGTTGTAGAGAATGGAAGAATGACTTTGTAGAGTTGACGCCTTATCTCCTTTGTAAAAGCAAGAGCAACCAGAAAGAAGGTGCAAGTTTTAAAATTCAGATGGCTCAAGTGCCTTACTCTAGGAGTTGGAGGAAAGAACATCTTAGCTGTACTGCTACCACTTATGTTTATTTAAAAATAGACAGCACAAAGACTGTGTATACTTCTTGTGTCTTGCAGTGTGAATACAACTTTGATGGTTTATGCTATGTCCAAAACAAAAAGAGATCCTGTACCTTCTTGTCTAACAAAAGGTTTACTTGAGAGAGGCAAAAGCTCAGCTGAAATTGAGACATGTTGCTTCCCCTACTCCAATTCATCTCAGAGTATATAAATTCTCAGCTAAAATTTTTGAGACAATTAAAAAGGGATCCTTCAGTAAAACTGGATTTTTTACAGATACAGTATGTGAGGAGGAATATTTTCCCCAACATTTTCTTTCTCCAGTGTCATTTTTATGTGGCTATCATGTAGATAACAGCGGGGAATTCCACTTAAGGAGATCCTTAATGGATTTAACTAATGGTTTCTTTGTAATGCTCTCAGACAGTTCTCCTGTAATGTGGATCCTCTAAATATTTAAATCCACCATTGAAGCATTTAATAGGAAGAAAGTCTCCTACCATTAGAATAAAGAAAAGTCTTTCAGCTGGAAACAATACGAAAACAAAATCTGATTTGTACAACTGCATCAAGAATCCAAGCCCACTTACTCTGTGAGGCAGCTGATACAACAAGGACCTAGGGTGCCAGGTAAACAACAAGCAGTCATTTGTACATTCAGACAATATCTGTGCTTTGTCCATATTTTTGAGGGCTGTTTGTACTGATTGTTGATTTGAGTGATCAATTGAACTGATAAAATAATACTGCTATTTGCTGTTGGTACAGGGAAACTGCTTAATCCATGGGCTTGTGGAATCTTGAAAATAGTGGATAGGTAAAAGTGGGATGCTTCTCCTTATTTTGAGTCTTCTGACACTGTTTCAAAGTGATCTTTCTTCCTGTTCTATCCATTATCCTCCTTTTTTATTCTTACAAGTGGAGCCTAATGTTTGTTGAGTTCCATAAAATATTTGGGCTGGAAGGAAAAACCTTTTAGAAATCTACTTACTGTACTGTCAAGACCTCATTTTTTTCTCTCCTGTCACTTGCTTGGGAAGAACAGTCACTTCCGAAACTAACACTGGTCTTTAAGCTGTCTGCTTAGTGCTGGATTTTACCATGTTTCCCTTGCACAAAGAACAAAATCTACTGTTTTCAATCTAGATTGTTTCTGAAAATGATAAATAATAGAAAAATGAAAGGCTCCCCATAGTTTGCATTCAACTAAACAAAACCATAGAGCTGCAGTTGCCCCACAGCTGTTTTTGTGGTGCATAAAATACATCCCTACCTTTTGAATACATAGGACTCATTGAAAAGAATAAATATCACTTTCAGCTAAATAAATCTGTTTATTTTGCTCTGCACAGTTTGGGCAGGGACATTTTTTCTGCGGATGATATTAAGAAATTTATAGGAATTTTCTGCAATCTCTTGACAATTTGCACTGTCTAAATCCACTTGTAACCCGTTCCATATCTATTCATTAAATATAGACACTTTTAATATTCTCTGATATTTCTGTGGTGCAATTAATTTCTGCATTTCTGCCACTTGGTATTGTTACAGATACAAGCATGTAGAGCCTTTCTGAATTCTTGTGTGCACAACCACGGTATAAATAATACACAATATAAGCAGCAAAGTTTCTCACTTGCTGTGGAAGCTGGCCATCCAGTAAGGGCACACTGGACCAAGTTGCCCAGAAGGGCACCCTCATTTGGCTCCAATGGGGAGATTCTCTGAGAAAACAAGTAGGCACACTTAGATTTTCCTTCTTGTTGCATCTCAGCATCGTTAGTGATAATGCAGAACTATCAATATGTTCCTCTCACGCTTGTACTTTATGTTGCATGGATACACTCAAAGGCTCGAATTAAAGGCTTTCTTGTTATCCTGCCCGCTGCCAGTAATGGAGTGTCTGTTTTTAAACCAGGTGCCGGATTCTTTGTTATGCTGTATCTCCTGCAGTTATGTAAACCAGAGTCAACAGAAAATGACTATTGGATAGTAACATCTATGTAAATCAGTGCAGATGCTGAACTAGTAGCGTTTTATATCCCCTTGCAGAGCAGAATATGTCTGCCCCAAAATGGGGTGAGATTTTGGATCCATTTAAAACTTTTTTACTCCAGGTGCCTATGTAGGTTATTATGTATGTTAAGTACGTTATGCATATATGCTCTCACAGCCCCAAAAGCCCTCTGTATCCAATGCAGTGTGGCCAGCAGGTCAAGGAGAGTGATTCTGCCCCTCTCCTCTGATCTGGTAAGACCCCACTTGGAGTGCTGCATCCAGCTCTAGGGTCCTCAGCACTCCAACAGGTCAATGACATTGACCTGTTCGAGTGAGTCCAAAGGAGGGCCACAAATACGATGAGTGGGCTGGAGCACTTCTCCCGTGAAAACAAGGGTGAGAGAATTTGGGTTGTTCAGCCTGGAGAAGAGGAGGCTGTAGGGAGACCTTAGAGCAACCTTCCAGTGCTTAAAGGGGGGCTACAAAAGAGCTGGAGAGGGACTTTTTACAGGGGCATGTAGTGATAGGACAATGGGAAATGGATTCAAACTGAAAAAGAATAGGGTTAGATAAAATATTAAGAAAAAAAGACTTTATTGTTAAGGTGCTAAAGCATTGGAACAGGATGCCCAGACATATGGATGCCTCATTCTTGGAAGTGTTCCAGGCCAGGTTGTATGGGAACTGAACAACCTGGTCTAGTGAAAGGTCTCTCTGTTCACAGCAGGGGGTTAGTTTAGGGAACTTAATAGTCTTTAAGGCCCATTCTATGGTTCCACAATTTACATAGTGCTTATAAAGCAGAGAATGCGAGTGTTGAATTAATGATAAAGGACACTTCACAGAATCAGAGAATGGGTCAGGTTAGAAGGCACCACAGTGGGTCACCTGGTCCAGCCTCACTGCTTAAGCTGGGGTTATCCTAGAGCACATGGCACAGCATTGTGCCAGATGGTTCTTGGATATCTCCTTCAGAGGGAGACTTCACAAATTCTCTGGGCAGCCTGTACCAGTGCATGCTCACCTGCACAGTAAAGAAATTCTTCCTCACATTCAGGTGGAACTTCATGTGCATAAGTTTCTGTCTGTTGCTTCTTGTTCTATTGCTTGGCACCACCAAGAAGAGCCTGGATCCATCCTCTGACACCCTTCCTTCAGATACTTATGGACATTGATGAGGCCCCTTCAGTCATCTCTTAGGCACCTAACGCCTGTTTTTGTGCCTTTATGTCTTTGAAAACCTCCCATTCTCATCTAGTTTATGTATGTATTTACTTGTGAAGGTGTTGCCCATTTAATCCATGAGAGCAAAGAAAAGATATAGTAGTAGTCTGAATTGGTACAGGAGCAAATGCCTCCAAAAATAGTGTGATTTTTATTTTGGAGAGGCCCATCTGTGAGTTGCTGCTTTGTGCTGACCCACAATTTATGCAGCTTTTGCCCAAATCTATCAGACGAAGCTCTTTAAATGGCTTAAAAATAGTCTGTAAGTGTTACAGGCATTCAGTCGAATTAGTTACTTAGTCAAATCATCCTTTCAACTGGTGCTTTCAGCAAATGGTTAAAACATCATTTGAGGAAGGACCAAGTGTATGATCTAATGCCTGAAAGCAGCTCATGCTCAATGACATAATCCTAAGAATAAATGTATTGTAAGTGTATGGCCAAACACAAGAGAATATCTGTCATCAAGTAGCTAGAAGTGCCACATGGTTTTTGTATCACTGTGCTGGAGCCACTAAGTGTTGTGCAGCACTTGCAACTCTTCTGAGAAAAATACCACATACTGCTTCAGCACTCCCTTGATCCAGGGCAGATGCTTTAAGAAATCTTTAACTGGCAGAAGTAGAATCTTGCTGTCTCTTCTTCTAAACAGAAGAAACTAAAACTCACAGAATTTCACTTGTACAACTTTTAGCAATGTATTTTGAATGGACTGTGGGACAGAGTCTTGCCATGTTGTGGCAGCACAGCTAAACAGACAGAGGTCACTGGGAGTCCTGTGCACAAGGATCAAAGTCTGGGTCCCTCAGTGGTGCACACGATACCAGGCTAATCATTTGGCCTCTTTATGGCCTGTTTCTCCTAGTGTTTCAGGATAATGCATAATATGGACATTTGGAAGAAAAAAACTTGGAAGAAAGGAACTATACTACTTCTACTATTACATTGACTGTTGCAGCTGTGCTTTCACAATCACAATCAATAATACATCACTCACTTAAAGATTGTTCTAGATTTCTCCAAGAATACTTCTTGGGCTAGCCCTCATTCTTCATCTCTCCATTTTTCTTCACTGTAAATGTGTTTACAGGTAATTTTTAACTGGACTTATTGTCCCTGTCTTCAAGCTTTTTTTTTTTTTTTTTTTTTTTTTTTTTGCTAATCAGAGGTTATGCTAGAGTTCCTTGCTTGTTGATTTTTTTTTTCCCAGAGAATGGTGTCTTTCCATGTACTGTTTAAAAACTAGCACTTAAATGGAGTGTTAAATCACTTCTGGAAACTGGACCTAAAATAAACGGTTTTACTCTATGAAAAACCGCATCAACCTCTTGACCCTGCTCTTGTCTCTTTCCAGAGGCATGTTAGGAACAGCTGTGTATACAAATTGAATGTACTATCTTCAAATCCTTTACTAGGACCCTTCCTAGTATTTGAGTGCTCATCGCAACTCTATCATAGTTTGAATCCATCCTCTCCTCCTAAATCTACAGCTACCTTCTCAGCTTTCCTCTCTGTTTCCTGCCTGTCCTCCAGCCCTTACCATTATAATCTGCAGGTGCTCCCCCTTCCCCCCCACCTCTCCTACGTGTCACTTCCAAAGCATTCTGCATTACTCATTTCACTGGTGAGCCCTCTGAGTTCAACTGAATTGCTTTTAGCTTCTCAAATAGTTAAAAAAAAAAAAAGTAACTACACCATTGTATTAAAATCAGGGAATTAAACATAGAACAGTGATGAACAAGAGTCAGCATGGATTTTGCCATTTCTGGGAAGGAGGGGCTTTATGGTCTTCTTTTCTCACAAGTGTTGGGCAATGACGCTTTATAGAAAAGTAAAGAGCCTTAATTTTCCACAAGGGAAACAAAAAAGGAAGAAAATTATCTGTAATAAATTGGAAATAAGAATACAGGATAGAACTTCTTTTGTGGCCATGGTAGCAATAGTGAATATGTATATATAAGAGGATCATTCAGCAATCACCTGTTCTGGCAGCAGATGATGACTGAGATTTTTGTTGCTCCCGGGTAATTGGTGCTTGTGGAGCAACAAAGGACTTGAAAGCCTGATCTTGCATCAGCCAGACCCAAATTCTCAATCTAGTTTCTGAATAAATGGAAGACTGAAAAGAAGGGAGGAGGAATTTTTCTGCAGTCTTTCTTTCCGGAAAGGAAGAAAAATATGAACAAGTGAATCCTCACAGCAGCAGGTAGAGACAAGTCTTTCCTCTTCTGTCCTAATTCAGCAGTTGGATCTATGCCTGGGATGTTCACCGGGGAACCTTTCTTGTAGTCTCCTGCTCTAGGGGGTGACAGACAATCCCACAGCCTGTTTTGACATTCAGGAATAAAGGCACTGATGAAGGAAGGCTCTTCATGGCTTAAACAGGAAGGCAGCGGTAAGAAAAGAGATAATTCATATAGTCTTTATTTCTCTTGATGTGGTGCTTGTATCCTGGTGCATTTCTGTGTGTATGTCCCCTGATATCAGTGGAATTAGTGTCAGGGGAGGAACAGCAGTATGTCCCACAGGCACGGTCGCAAGGCAAGGAAGAGATCTCCCAGGGGCCTCCTGAATTTATGAAGGCAGTGGAATAGTAGATCTGAAAATGTATACTAAGTGTGAAGTGGGGGCTGGGATATTTCACCTCATTAGAGATTGTTAAAAATAACTATTACTCTGTGAGTGTAAACAGTATTGAGTATGCCGTGCTTAGAATGAGGTTGAACAAGAAGCTTCTTCACAACCCAGTTATTATGCATGGTCATCTACAATCATTGCTTTTTACACTGTGCCTTTCAAAGTGTGTGAAAAACACTTTATACTCCTGTGTGTGTCTAAGTTGATTTCACACAGTCCAGCCCAAGCCACCATGTGCAATTATTTAGTGATTATTTTATGTGCCTTTCTAATGTAAGACTCTTTCAGCAGTGGTAGATATGTAATTGATTGCTCTTTCTGTAAAGTATCAGCTTCAACTAGTAATCAATTTATTACCAAATGTTTCTTGGAATGAGCAGCTTTCTCCCTGACAGTAATGTCATTGGTTGTGACAAGATATGATCAGGTGACAATGAGACTTTCTCAATAACAACACAGTAAATCACACTCAGTAAGAATAAAGAGTTCTGAGTAAAAATAATTCCATTTTCTATTAACAAAGCCCTTGGCTACTGGCAGCCAGTGCCACAATGGCAATACTACAGACACTGCTGGAGAAGTGAGAGATTGTTGTCCAAAACAGAAAAAGTTAGTAGGAAGCCCAGTTTAGATGAGCTTTCTATATATGCTCATTTTTCACTGCTAGGTCTGACAACATTTTCAGGGTGAATGTGTCCCATTTTAAAGCTTCCTTCCCTTTGTGGTTCTGGAACTGTTGGGTAAAACTTAATCCCTGCTATCTGTTAAGGCAGCTATATCCAATTTACCTCCATGGTAATACACTCCAAAATAATATACTTCAACAATTATGTATAGAGGTACATATTTTTTATGTTTTATCTCTTACAGTTAGCATTGCTTTTATTTATTGTATTGTATTGCTCTTGTGTCTCATGGACAAAAACTAATCTTGTGGCACGATGATCTGTCATTGTTCTGGTGTTATCAAAAGGGAGATAGTTCCATATTCAGCTTTCTGCTTCCTGCACTGACATCTCTCATTCTCTTCTCAGACAGCTGTTTCAGAGAGATGCTTTGAGAAGTCATGTTACATGGGCTGAAGAGACTTCTAACTCTGTCTGAACCGTCCCATAAAAGGCTCTGAAAACAGCTGAGAATCTTAAAAATCATGAAACACAGTGGCTTAAGAAGATAGACAATCTCTAGTCTATAGTGTAAGAACTGTATTTTGCATGACTGAAGCTTTTAAACTCTCTTTCCCTGATGAATATGATCCTTGGAAGCTGCAAACACATGGCTGTACTGTGTCCAAGACATGATGTCATTGTGCTCAAGACTGGGTGCTTCTCAGCTGTGTTTGGTCAAGTGCAGTACTGTTCAATTGGCTTCAGTCTTTGTGTGTTATTTGAAAAAAACTAATTTGTCACAAGTGCTGGTGGACTCTTCGATAGCCTCCATCATGCTGGCCCTAAGTGTTCAGATGACCTGAAATAAATTCTAGTGTGAGAACTTCCATATTTTTATCAGTTATGGTAATTATGACAAATTAAGTGTTCATTCTTATATTTTAAGTCTCTCAGTCATTAAGTATTAGTTTTTCTAATGAAACCACTGAAGAACAAAGAACAAATTGTGAATATCTGCACTGCCTACTTTGAGTTGCCTATATTTTGCCATGGATAGGCATGAATGGCTGTTTAGAATACAGAGAAGCCTGAGACAGAGCCATACTATATTTTCTTCCATAGCTCCCAGCTAACAAGTAACTTCAGGAAAGAAAATGTCCTTGATGTATCAGTTCTTTAAATAAACCATGCTGCTCAGATCAGTTACTTTCTCAAAACTCAGACACTTTAGTGAAATAAGTGATCTTTTCTAAATTACTTCAGTGATTTAAAACAAGTTGACTTTGGCCACGAAGTATGAATGGAGAGCTGTAACCCAAAGGTGATATTTTCAGCAAGATCTTATCATAAACAGGGCTGAAATGAATTTTTTTCCTCGTCTTATCTGTTATCAGTGGATGATAGGTTTTCCTTTCATCCTCTGTATGATACCTCCCACAATTGCATCCAAATCCATGATTAAATTTCTGATTGCTAATTAATGCGAGTTATTATTTACTGTTACTATTAAATAAGGGCAGGGCTGCCTTCATCTGTCTGGAGGGTCTGCCATTATATCTGCTCTGTGTATTGCTGCTACAGTGGAATTGAATATGCCTCAACCTCATACAGATGCACTGTGTTAGAAAACATCTGCTAGCTGCTGATTTTATGCATATTACAGAGACTTTATGTACTGTTAAATGGACCACTTCTTCATTCCAAACCATAATTTTCCATGTGGCATCATTTGATCTGTCCTCACTCCAACATTTGATCAACTCATTTCTTCCTACCCAATATGTTTGTTGTAACCTCCTCCATGGCTGTGTGTCCTCCGTGTGAATGGAGATTACTACAATGCTCCTGTCACAAAAATATGGTGGTAGGGCAAAATGTGTCATTTTAATCAGTATATTTATATCCATTAGCTTCTTTCATCCCCGAGCTTGAGTCTAGACAGTTTAGGTTTGATTATGCCAAATGCTACTTGGCTACATTGTAGCTTTCTGTGATCTAATGCAATGCAGTTTTTCAGAACTACCAAGGACTCCTAACTGGGTACTAGGTTTAGAGCTTAAATGCAGCTAATGAGGAGAAGAATGTCCTTCACCCAGAACTTTGCTGTGCCTGTACATTGAACTTCCAAATGGACAAGTCAGAAGGGAAGCTTATTTGGGTCACTGCCCTTTGGGGACACATACATTTCAGCTCTGCTATTACCTTCCTGGGAGTCGAGCTGCAGGGCCACATCAGAGGGTGCAGGAGGCTGAAGTGGGAATAGGCTGAAAAGGGGGACCATTCCTTTTGGAGGTGGGACATGCTTTGCTGTCAATTGTTTTGATTTGATCTTCTGTAGCAATGGTTTATTGTGATGTTTAACTTTATATCACCTACCCATGATATAACGCCATAGTTAAAGTTGAAATTACTGCGGAGGTTACCTTGTAGATCCAGGCTGCTCAGGATTGCTCTGCACGGGGTGAGAATTGACGACTCTTTGCCTGTCCATTCCTAACAGTTCTTGAAACAACAGTCTTTTCTGTACCTGTTGAGTCACAACTTGGCATCAGTACAGCTCTAATTACAGAGAAAACAGAGAAAACTAACCTTTGGTCATGGTGACATTTCTAGAGGCTACAAGGAAAAAGATGTAAAGTTAAATGGCACCTACCAATCATTTCTGATATATGTAAGTAGCAGGAGGCGGGCGCATACTTCAGGGGAAACATTTTTGCCAATCAAACATGACACAGTCTTTCTTGGCATGCACAGAACTTGATTGCTACATTACAAAATAATAATATGCACAGACACACACCCAACAGAGATTTTTGCATATTTAGTGATTCTGACAAGTTTGAATAAATATGTTTTTTTATTATTCGTAGTAGTAATAATAATGCACATTTAGGTATCTCTTTTAATGTTCAAAGTACTTTATAAATGCTAGCTTGTTAAGTGATCGTTGCAACATCCTTGTGAGGTTCAGAATTATTGTCCAAATATTAGAGATATATATTGGTGTGCAGTACACCAATTTCCATTAACTTTTTTACAATAGACTGAATTCTGATACACAATGTGTGTCCCTATATTTCTGGACTATCACACAGTAACAAAAATGTATCTAAAACAAGTGATTTCTTCCATGAAAGCAGAGTAGAATAGATATATAACTCAGGTGTCTGTAATTATCTTCCAATTAATTTTCTCAAAAAAAAATTATAATTTAGTTGTGCTTGAGATAACGTGAGATAACTCAGCAGTGATGTTTGTGGCGGTACTGGGGTACAAGGAACTATGCTGATTTTTATGGGTGAGTGAAAAAGGCTCGTTCTTATCTTGGATATTTTGCAGTCCAAGAATATGTTAAGACAACAGATGAATACAACAAAGAGACAGAGACCTTTTGAGGTTACAGTGGGAGGATTACAATTACTATAAGAAATGGTGGTCACAGCACACCAGCGGTTTAACCATTCTCAGATAATTTTTTAGTCATCACTACAGTGAGAGTAAGAGAATTATTTGAAGGAAGATGACAAAATGACTAGGCAGACTTCTGTAATGTCTCCTTCACATGCAGATATAGAGACATGGGGAAAATACCTTAATAAGAAAATGGCATGAAAAGCATTTCACCTTTCGTAAAAATGAGGTGAGAGCTAAGGATTCCGATTCACTATAGGAAATAATAAAGGATGAAAAGGGATAAGCCCTCAAGATAAATACTGAAGTGAATTTGAGTCTGAAGTGAAATGCAAGGTATAGGCCTGTGGTGGCAGTGAAGTGAGGTGACAGGAGTGAAGTGCCAAGACAGAAGATGATGGGGGTGTTTTGATAGAGCTATTTGGTAGAAACTGTTGCAGTTCAATGGCTGTAAGAGCATCTGTTTTTCAAACTTGAATGAAAGCCCTGTGTTTCTTGGCTGTTCTACAGGAGGCTGTGAGAAGTCTTCTGACCCCTTACCTTGTGTGGCCTCCATGACATGGACACTGGTTCTGTGCTTTGCAGCCTGTGCTAGAGTGTCTTGCACTCTTGCTTGGGGTTCAGCTAAAACACTTCATTTGATATGTGCCTGAAGACTCAGTTGAGACACAGAGAAGAAGTGAAGATTTACATACCATATTTGTCTCTGTCTCTGATCAATGTGGTCTCCATTCTTCACTGCTCATGGTAAAGCCTCTTTCACATATCACTCCAGAGGCTACAGATCCTTTGCCATACTGCCATTCCTCCCCTTTCAGACAGCCTGGCATGGTAGTTGCACATATCCCCATGGCATACCAAGGTGTACTGTAAACATATATGAACTCATTTTAAACAGGAAACTGCCTTGTTGTGGTAGCACTGAGGTCTCTGCAGATTATTCTATCCTTTGAAAAAGGCACTAACCCTAATTTGTGTTTTATTTCCAGTATAAGCACTTGGGTTTTGATAGAGCAATTAATGTACTTGATCTGAGTCTTTGCATTGCCTGCAATGAGTTTTGGATTGGAACCATAATCTGGATGCCTTACATGCATCATGTATTCACTTGGTATCTTGCCATCACAGTCAATATGAAGCAGAGCACTTCTCTATATTGAGTATTGAGACAGGTGAATTATTGGTTCACTGAGAACACTAAGGGAATGTTCTGACTCTTATATGTTTTGAAATTTATAAACAAGCTGCTTTATGGTAATTTAGCTACATTTCACACATACATACATGGATACATACACACATACATATATATATGTATATATATAGACACTCTCAGAAAGTTATGATAGGCTTTAAAAACAGGCTTAGAATGAACATAATTAATAAAACTTAAATATACCAATTGCTTCTGTTGTTTCAGTTTCTGTTTTCTGTACTCATTTAGTTTGCCTGACATATTTAAAAAAATATAATTGATTGCTATACCTTTTTACCAAGAAGAGATACATCCTGTAGCAGCTGTCCATCATTAGCCTCAGAACCATTTTACAATGACCTATATGAAAAAAATGAAGCAGGCCTCAATCATATCCCCTGTCTTGTGCAGTAAAAGCAGTCATTCAAGATTTTAACTCATTTAATTTTTTTTCAGCAGGAAATACCAGTCTGGTCTCATAGCAAGTGCTGTGACTTAGATTCATATGACCTGCTTTCTATTCCTGGCTCTGGCTCTGAGTGACCTTATGAAAGTCATTTTTATCTACTATTGTTTTTAAATGGACAGAATGGTTTCCTGGCAGAATGGGTCAAGCATAGGCATTTTTTTTCCATTATCCCACCTCAAAAACCTATCCCCGAAGAAGCTACACACCTACACATAAAAATGCCAGTCAAGCGTTTGCCTCAAATAAGATGCTCTGCCTCTCTCCTTCCTGCTTTCTCTCTCTTTTGTTCTATATAGCATGAGGAAGTCAAGAGTGGAGTGGCTAAACAATGTTCTTTAAATAAACATAACTTGAGAAGACTAATTACATATACACATCTCTGCTCCAGTAGGCTGAGGTGATTTCTGAAAGCAAATACCACATGGACAAAAGTGAGCTTCCCAAAATATTTATGGGCTTATTGTGCTGCTACACGCAATACATGATAAGTGTTTATTGGAAAACTGCCTTCCCCTTTAGCAGTATAACTGTCAGACAATAGTTCATACACAGCAACACCATGTCATAACTTGGGAGATAATCTTTTATATGTTCCTAAAAATATGCTTTGAAATCCTACATTTAAAAGGGTTTAGCAACACACAATAACCCAAACTATCAAATAAGCAGTAAAAGTAACATGTAGAGCCAGACACAAAAATAGAATGAAAACGATTTTTTATTATTCTCCTCTGTATTACCATAAATGACATGCTATATTTAATTTTACAGTGCCCCTGGACAAATCATCAAATACTTTAATAACTACACAAACATTAATATTTAAATACAAGAGATCCCCTCAGTTACTGAATAATCATAACTCTGGATTGATAGGGCACTAAATGGAAAAATCTTGTTTAGACAGTTGTAAGAGGGGGGGAGGGTGTTTAATGAAACAAGTTTGATGGTCTTGTCATCATAAAACTGATAGATATTTGGCACAATTTATATCTTTGCTAAAAAGAAGTTTGAGAAATGGAACAATTGTAGTGAAGATTAATTTTCCCTTCTTTTGCTGTGAGAGCATAGTCCTTTAGGTCATTAGCAAGAATGTGTGACATAGATTGCACTTTACCCATGCAAGCTCCATGCTGACTCTTAGAAAATGCACTTGTTAAATAGCTGTGAGTTCTACACTTGTGAAATGGGCTACCCAGCTGTCATCACAGCTATCTAGACCCATTTTATGAGAGTGATGAATATAGATGGTAAAAGAGACAGCATACAGAGGTCTGATGTCAGTATTTGTTAGGCCTGACCACCCATTCTACCCACTGTCCTTAGAGGGCTTTTTTTAAATCCAGATTTTGTTTTGTTGCTTCAGCAACTCTTCCAATTAAATGTTCTACCTAATAATGGAGGTTTGACTACTAAACCACAAGAAGAACAGTGAAGGTATTAATGATCCCTCCAGTGCCACCAAAAAACCCAACAGACAAACAAAACAAAACAAATAAACCAAACCAAACCAAAATGCCTGAAACACTTCTCAGTCAAAGTCATTCACATAAATTCCTGAACCAGAAGCCTGAGACTTGACTAGATTTTCAGATCTCCGATCTGTGACTACGTTCATGCATGTGTCCTATGTGTCACTGAGCACAGATGACACTAAGCTAATGGAAATATCTGATTATTGCTGGTCAAAGGCTTAGCTTTTATTTGTATCAACTCATGCTCTGCTTGGATGCCACAGCTTTTGTAGCTAAATGAAACGCTTATGGAGTGGGAAGTAGGCTGTGTTCACTTACCAATCCCTTATCAGGAGAGTCTGTCTCTGTAATGCACCTTAACATTTTCTTTTCTATTTTTGGGGTGCTGCCTCAGACTCTGCAATTTTCAGAGTTCCTTTTTCTTCTGTGCACTTCAGCTCCATGGAGATAATATAGTTCTAGCTGTATTATGTTTCTTGGCCACTTCTCAACTGGGAAATACCCCTTTGAGGGAAATTCAAGTGAGAACATGAATGTGTTCATATTCTAGCTTTGCAGGAACAGAGGGGAGGAAATGGCACAGAGACATAAGGCCCCTGAATAACGGGACATGGGCTGGCAGACCTGGGAAGTAATACCATTAGAGTACTCCTCCAGATATAGACAGCTGACAAACTTTAATGATGAAGGCTGCATCCAAGCCAGTTATGATGAACTAATTAAATATCTTGCTCCATTTAATAAAGGAAGTATAGAAGAATCCAAAGCTGTCTATAAATCATCTACCCACATCCCTGCCAAACTTCTAAAGTGGCAGGAAAGGTGAGCAAAGAAAAAAGACAATACATCAAAACTAAAGGACTAAGACCAATGGAAGTTTCTGTGCTAGGAAAGAATGGCTGTTGTCACCACATCTTAATGAAAACAAAAATACTATAGAAACTCCAAAGCAATAGGCCTGGAATCAGAGCAGAGA